TAGTTTACTGAGATTAAAATTTTGTTTAATCCCATGAGTTTTTTTGAGTTCTTTCTTTTACAGAGAGATCACTTGTAGTAATCCTGAATACCATCTAATCAACACTTCTATATTATCTAGCCACCAAGTTGGCATGAGTAGCTTTTTAAGTTTTGATGTACCTATTGAAGAATAAAAAAAAAGGGGTGAAGTTGACTAGTCAAATTGATTTCCCTTGCATTTATATACTTAACCGGATTGTTCATCAGAAAAATATATTGATACTCAACTGAATTGTATCTTTTTTTCACTTTGAAATTGAGATGACACAACCATATCGCCTTTTGACAAAGTCAATACTTCTCAATTGTCATCCTAATAAAGAATCTAAATGTGAAAATATTAGCCTTCTATCTCTGGACACTAACCAATATTTGCTTTCTATATAAACATAATTAAAATTATAAAGTTTGCCATTTTATATTTTTATTCATGCTAATTAAAATAATCGAGTGATAGCCCCTGCGTAGCAGGCTCTCCTCCGCTAGTTTGTTTATTATTATGGCAAAATCTATGAAGGAAAAATTGAATGAGACCGGTGATAAAGCGATGTGTCACAGTTGAATTTTTAATCTTTAATGTAAGTATATTAGGCTGTATGTGGTTGCAGTACAAGTTCATTTGTTTGCATTATTACAAATGCATGGGAATGCAAATGAATGGAATGCAAATATTGGTTTAATTTTGTTTTGAGTTTTATTTTATTTTATTTCATTTGTATCATAATTAAACAACATAAGGTAAAATTTGAAACAAATATAAATCAGAATTTGCATTCAAATAATTTGCACCATCATAATTTTGCATCAAACACAGCCTTAGGGGTGCATCAAGCCATTGCAGTAGTGCAATGCATGGGTGCTTGAAGATTGTAATGGCAAACAGGGGTGGTTTGGTTTTCATTTGGGGAGTTGCAAAAACAGGTAATATAGGTTCGGGTTCAAAAAATAAAATAGGATTTGGTTAATCGAACCATGAACACCCCTGCTAGCAATCTACTGTGGTGAATAGAAATTAATTTAATGTATCAGATATTAAAATGGTAACTAATAAGAACATATAATACACTTGATTTTAGCCAAATATCAACAAAGATAGATACCATGCATTCATTTAAAAATACATCTTGCCAAATGCGAATCATAAAAAAATAAAGAGTTCAACTACCATGCATTCACATTGATTATATGTTAAATTCGAATCTCAACCAATCATGTTAAAATATACTTTCACGTTCAACAAGAAGATGCATTTACCATAATTCAACTAATCATGTCTTTTACATCAAGATGCAGTCAATGCATCATGTATTTTGCCCAAATAAATATATTATGTGATGTTTTTTTAACGATTGTAATTTTGATTTAGTAGGTGTTTGACATCAATACAGCTTCTGGTTTTTTGGAAAGCGCATGATGTTTGGTTAGCCACTTTTTCAAAAAAAAAAAAGTTTTCTCATACCACACCTTGAAAATCAGGAAATGTGTGGCATGAGAAAATGCCTTTTTCGATGTTTCTTTTTGTTTTTTCTTTTCCAGTAATAATATATTGGCATGACATTGAGAATTATTTAGGGGATGTTTGGAATCATAGCCATTTTTCAAAAAAATGGTGCCACGTCGGATATACATAGGCGTTTCAACAAACGCTCATGTATCTCATTGTTTGGTTCAACTGATTATTAAAAAATTGGGCATGCCTCAAAAATCGGGACCCCACTGATGCATGAAACGCCAAATTTGGTATTTCATGCATCGGTGAACCGTTTCCCCCAACGGTTGACTGATGTGTATCCTATGTGGTGCTTACCTATCAACACATACATGAAAAACGGTGATGAAAATCACCTTACCAAACAGCATAGTGTTGCTCATTGCCTACGTGGCAGAAGTTTTTTTTTTTGTGAAAAACGGGTCTTGGAAGCATGGGCGTTTTTTCTTGAAAATTGGTCCCAAAAAGCACCCACACTTCCAAACACTATGTTATGTGACAGCAACAATAATGGTACCAAATAGAATACCAAAAAAAATAAAAAACGTTTTCTAAGAAAACATTATGCTTATGCAGTACCGTTTTCTAAGAAAAAAGAAAACGACATTGGTTCCAAACATCTAGTATATGTTTGGCATTGATGCTGCAGATACCATTTTCTAAGAAAAAGAAAACGGTGCTGATGATGTGTGGGTTGGAAGCACCGTTTTCTGTGAAAACGTTGTTTCTTTGTTTGAAAACGTTGCTGCCAGGTATGATGTTTCCTGGAGAAACAACAATGTTTTTCTGTTTGGTACCAATGTTCCAGGAAACGTTTTCAACATTGGTACCTATTATCCAGTGCCATGTCATGTTCCTACCATTGCCACCTCATGTCCCTGTTGGCAGCAACGAGATGCAACTCCTAGAAATAGGGGTGTCCACTGTTTGGTTAACCGAACCATGGCTCTTTTTTGTAAACCGAACCAGTGGTACCGGTTTTAACATTTCGCCAAAGCGAAATCGAACTGGTACCACCGGTTAATCAATCTGTTGGTTTTGGTTTTTGACCGATTCGGTTCTTTGGTTTTTTAGTTTTTTATATTTATAATATATATTATATAAAATATATGTATAATATTAAATTATAAATAATAAATGATATATAATATATTATAAATATTTTAAAAACATATAATATATATTATATATTTATAAATAGATCATTATAAATATAATATAAGTATATATTTATATATATAATGAATATATATTTATATATAATACATTGAAAATATGTGACATATATTAAAAATATATATAAAATATACATATAAATATATACCGGTCGGTTCGATTAACCATCGGTTTTTGTGTAGGTTAATCGAAAGCCGAACCAATCCTTCTGTTTTTCAAAAATTTTGAACCGAAACTGAACCAATCAGTTCAATTAACTGCATTTTGCAGTTTGGTTTTCTCGGTTCGGTTTTTCGGTTTTTCGTGGACACCCCTACCAAGGAAACACCAAATTCGGCATTGCTCCAAACCACGCCTTCTTGATTTCCAAGATGACTTGAAGCAATGCTTTTTATGAAAAAATGATTCCAAACAAATATGTATTTTCTGGAGCACCGTTTTTTCCAACCTAGTACTGATGTGTCACCGTTTTTTCCAACCTGGTGCTGATGTGTTACCGTTTTCTGGAGCAACGGCAACGATGCCAAACAAACGCCTAGATTTCTTAAACATTTGGAGTGAGGTGTAATTGGACTCTATGTCTCTATCTATTAGTGACTTATTATCGTAATGGGCGGGGTGAAATTGCGTCGGCTTGGGAGAGAGTCATCGGATCAAACAGATTGTAGGCGTTACTAAATTAATATTGCAGCAGGGGTGGTCAGCTTGTCACATGATACGGAGCCTTCTTACCAGCAATGGCGAAGTGCGAAGGTTCTTCTATTGACCCGGTAATTTAATAAATATGTCACTGTCCACATGCCAAACAGGGCACAAACCATCCAAAATCCAGATAACGATCTAGTACCCGACTGTAGCCATCGCTTCACATGGAAATGGAAATAAAATATTATACCCAAAAAAATATTAATTAAATTATTTTATTTTATTTTTATTAAATTTAAATTTGTTGGAGGTTGGAACCATATTATTGATTCTCATCCATTTCACGGCAGCCTAGTTGGCTTCTCTTGTACAGTTGTACAGCCCACGAGCATTTTTCCAGCTCAATTGACTGAGATTATTATATTAAAAAATAATAATAAAATAACATCATTTATTAAATTATCCTTATAGTTTTATGGATTTGTTAAAACCTACCTTATAATTTGTATTTTATTAAAATATTTCCTATAGGTTGCAATAGATTTATTTAATTAACCTTTCACTAGATGACAGTGAAAAATGTTTTGAGCCTAATGTCTATTTTAATGAATTTAATTAAAAGAAAATAAAAATAAAAATTTTAGTTTTGCCCCTAATAAGACATGAGTATTGAGTAACCACTCTATTTGGTTCTATTTGATCAATTTCTGTTCTTTATATATGAATAGGGGTATGAATTACATCGGATTTGGTCCAATCCAATCTGATCCAATATGAGTTCATTATAGATGGACTAGGCCCAATCCAATCCAGTGAATATTTTGGACCATCTTGAACCGGTCCAATTCAATGTTTGGACTGTCCAATCTGTTCAAATTGATTTTAATTTTAGATTGATTATAACTCAAACATGGTCCAATCCAACCAAACTGGATATTGGTTCAGCCCGACCCAATCCAATATAAATCCATTATGGATGGACCAGGTCCAGTCCAATCCAATAAATACTTTGGACCATTAAGTCTGGACTGGTCCAATCCGTCCAACCCTTTAACATTTATAATTTGGATGGAATCCAACCCAAAACTTGTCTATTGACACCTCTATTTATAAAGAGTTTTAGAGATATTTTCAGAATAAACAATCATGGATCCATGCCTTTGAACATTTTCCACTCAGTTTAAGTGCTCATGTTACATTTTTGGATGGCAAAACAAATACTTCCTAATGAATAGGGGTGTAAATGGGTCGAATTTGAATTGAATCAGGCAATATCCGAATTCGAATCCGATTAGAAAATTCGATATTCGAATTCGACTCGATATCTGATGGATATTTAAAATTATTAAAATTCAAACCCGATTAAATATTCGATTCGATTATGTCGAATCTCGAATTCAAAATCGGATTTTCGAATATCATTGATCACACATCTACTAATGAGTGGTTGATTAAATAAATAGTTTACAAACTATATGGGGTGTTTTAGTAAAATGAATTTATAAACTATAAGGGTGTTTTAGTAAAATGAATACTATAAGGTAGGTTTAAATAAATTCGGAAAACTATGGGGATGTTCTAGTAAATGAGCATAAAATAAAATGAAAACCAGTTGGAGTTAAAACTTAAAAGGTGGGTGGGTCCATTTTCCTGTGGGAGCCATTCTAACATGGCTTCCTTCCTAGAACACTACCTAAATTGTCTTGTGAACCATTACCATCTTCCATGGTTATAGCACTCTCCTATCAGATTTCCTCTCAGACCTCAGTTTCACCTTCCCATGGAACCAGAAGATATAGAACTATAGAAGCTTTGCTGGGAGCTACAAGTCTACAACGTCAGAGCTACATTCAACTTAACTCTCTGTGGGTCTCTGTCTCCAAAGCTGTTTGCATCTTTTATCATTCGGCATTCAAATTTCATTCAAGAAGAATCTGCATTGCGGTTGTGAGTCTCAACCCGTAAACAATGCACAGAATTCACATCTGTTGCTTGCATTTTGGCACAGTGAGAGCCGGTGATAATATCTCATTGCGCTTGTTGACTTCGAGAGATTAACTTGTGATTTTGAACCCAGATTTTGTGTAGAAACGGGAGTCTCATCTCACCAAAACTCTCTGTTGAGAGACTCCATAAAATGTTACAAGCCTAGAATGCAACATTCTTGATCAAAATTAGGGACTGAATTAAATTCTGTTAATTCCATTGATTGAATTTCATGGGATCAAAAAGAAGGTGGTATTTCATTTGGGTGATCTGTTGTCTCTGTCTCTTTATTTCTTCTTCAGGACAAGCCTTAAACAACCTTACTCATGATGACTTAGATGATCTTTTCCAGGATTATGCCTTCAAAGCCTTCAAAGCACTGGTTAGACCTCGTACAGGCAAGCTGTACAATGCAGCTCTCCCTGTTAATCTGTCCGGAATGGAAGCCTCAGTTGTGCGTCTCAGGAGAGGGAGCTTTTGGGTCAGAGGAGCAAATTTCAGCACCTTCCACATCCCACCCAGGATTATACCACTGCCCTATGTGAAGAGACTGGCCATTGTCTATCAAAATCTGGGCAATTGGTCATCTTATTACTACCGTGTGCCAGGCTATGCATTGGTTGCACCTGTTGTTGGCTTCATGGTTTATGATGCATCCAACCTAAGTGCCACCAGCATCACCAAGCTCAGCCTCAGTTTGAGAGGGGATCCCATTTCAATCCGTTTTCCTCAGGTAGTGTTGCCTGAAGGATCAAATTCCACCATAAGATGTGCTACATTCAGTGAAGATGGGTCAGTGCTCCTTAGTGAGATGACACTCCCAAGTGAATGTTTGGGGCACGATCAAGGCCATTTCTCCCTGGTTGTTTCAGTTCCTCCAATTGCTGTTCCATTGAAGAGGAAAGTGAAGCTCTGGAAATGGTGGGCAATTGGGTTTGGCTCTGGTTTCATTGGGCTGGTGTTGGTGGGTTTGGTCGGCATTGTAGCTTTAACCTTTGTGAAGAAAAATAAATTTGGGGAAATGGAAAGAAGAGCTAGTGAAGGTGAGGCTTTTGATACTGTTTGGATTGGGACTAGCAAAATGCCTTCAGCCAGAGTAATTAGAACACAGCCAGTCCTTGAGAATGGTGATGCTCCATAACTTCCTTTTCTTCATCCCCTCTGTTTCTCTCTTTGTTTCTAGTTTTCCTTTTTCGGGATATATTTCTGAATGAATTGAGAATTCTTAGATGTATGTATGTTGCAAATCAGATTAATTCATTATGTTTCTGGTAAGTTTGTTGTTAGAGATTTCCTCACCAATGTAGTATTTGGTGCAAATTCCGGTTCAAAAGTTCAGTGGTTAATTTGATCAGAACACTCTTAATTTACAGCCATGGAGTTCCACTGCTTGAAGCATATAATTGAAATAGCTAAAAACTCGTAGTTTTCTTTAGTTGTAAACTTTAACAGTACACCGTCAGAACACTCTTAATTTTCTCATGAATTGCACAACATATTAGACACAGAGAGAACTTTTATCAGTAATTAACCTTTCTACAGTTTTTCCTGATCTCTCCTTTATCTCCAATGAGGGGGCTCAAGTTCCCCATCTTGACCATGGCGTTTGCAAAGTCAGTGTAGAAGGCCTGTGCATCTCTGCTGTAGATCAAAACAATGCCATCTGTAGATCCCCCATTGAAAAGCTCCTGATCAGAGTGTAGCAATCCCCTCCTCATGGTGAGTTCCAGGAAATAATGGTTGTCAAACCGATTAGGACTTTGGTGGTCCATTGAAGATAAGTTATCATCACCACCATTTGAGGGACACCTTGATTTTCTTTCAGAAGCAATCACTGGTTCCAAGTTTGTTCCATTGTATAAATGATCACGAAACAAGCGACAACGTGCCATGCCAATCGAATGTGCTCCAGATAGAGCTACCATTTCTCTGGCCGTGAAGCCCTAATTACTGAAAATTTTAACCAGATCTTGAAGATCTGAAAATGGGGATGGAAGAGCTTCTGCAGCTTTTCTGTTGGCTGACTTTGCATCCTTCCTTCCCATTAGCACCGGCCATGAAGGACCCCCCAACTGTAAATTGAAAAAAAAAACAGAGTTAATTAGTACTGTTGCATGAAGCTTAAGCCAAAATAGAAGATTTCTTATACAGGGCTAAAACAGAAAATCATGGCCTTGGATCTACTGTATTGGCCCATCAAGAAGTCACTTCATCTGATTCAAGGTGGGGGGGCCATGACAATAAATCAAAGGCTTTGATTTACTTGTTTCAGCGCAGGGCTATTACACTGTCTAGCAAATGTGGGTTGAAAAAGAAAGAAAAAGTGTTAATTAGTACTGTTGCTGCTGTATGTGTGTCTACTGTACCTAAATGCTTAAGGCTGTTTTTGGAAACAGTGCAAATAGAGTGTAAATGCAAATAAGCAGAGTGCATTTTGGCTTATATAAATGCGAAGTTGGTTTAGTTCTGCATGGATAAATTTACTGTATTGCCAAATGACTTTTAGTTCTAATGGATGCAAATACAAATCCTAAACATACCTTTTTAACATTGATCACTTTGAGTGCAAATATTTGCTTCCTTTTTTTCATGCAGAATTACCTCTCATTTTGGGTGTAGACATGACTTGGAAATTGTGTCTTATGCCATTGTCAATACACAATTGAACTGTTGCCAAACGCTAGAAAAACTGAACTAGAGTGCATATTTGCACTGAACCAAGATTTGCACTCTTTCCAAACACAGCCTAAGCTTTTGGGTGTTTGATCCTTACCACCCCCATTAAAATTAATCAAGGGGCTCTTTGGCAAGTCTTTCTAGGTAGAGCTTTCAACAGTCCAGTAGACAAGATCACAAACTGAGCTCTTGCTCTTGGGATCTTGTCTTTAAAAATCAAGATTGTTTGGTTCACGTTGTGGCCTATGGGCTGTTAAAAACAACTGAGAATGGCTATCTTCAGCACTCAAAGACCAAAAGCTTCATTTGAAGCTTCCTGATTTCTGGTTATTAATCTTTCTATGTGCTTGTCTTTGGGATTTTTGGTCTATGCAATACCAAACAGGAAAAGACCATTTTTTGTCTTTTGAGTTTTCTGCATATTAAAAGACATGCGGAAAATACCCGTCAAACACCACTTAAATTTCAGCACAAGATATGGATGGGCCTCACACTTCAAGTCAGATGCGCCTTTGTGTGAATCCTATTCAAAGACCTGACCTAACAGCTTAATCTTTTGGGTTAAATCAATGGTTCCTTGAGACTTACCTCAACGACTGAGTCGCGTGATGCAATGGCGAGAATATCAGCACATGAGACTATGGGCCCATTACACATTCTGTTCTACAGCTTCTTTGATCTTGTCAATAAACTTAAACCCTCTCAGGGAATTCATGTTGGGTATGGCATTCTTCTCGCTATCAATACTTGGGGGGCTGTCATCAAGTAGCACACCTGCATCACAACCCTGCAAATGGCAAATTAATCAGGCAAGCAATTTTATCAATACTGACATGAGAAAATGGGAACTGTACATACAACTACAAAGCAGTCAGGGAAGAAGAGACGAAGAAGAGAAGCTCCCATCCTTTTATCCCTGTTTATAGCCCAGTGGACGTTGGCTTTTACAATATCAAGGAGGAAGGGACATGTAGAGTCATAGAAAGAAGCAGAGAGCTGTGCATGAGAGACACAAGGGAACAAGAAAATCAAGGCCAAAGTTAGTACTGAAACATTTACAATGGGCCATAACTACTCTGCGCTATCTCTTTCCTATGAGGCTATTGCCATTAACAAGTTCTCACCCTCCTTTTAAAGCAAGAAAAGTGAGAGACTGAGAGCCAGATAATCCTCTGTTAATTAATTCATCAATAGATATCCCACGTTTTAAATAGGAGAATGGTTGGGTTCAGGATAATAAGTGCCGAAAGTTGCAATCTAGTTGCTTGATAAAATGCGCAGGCGCCCACATCATGGTTTCTTTCACTAACCAAACGCATCCACGTTCATTTCTCTCTAAGACTTAGTTGCCTGGCTATTCAGTGGCTGATTAAAATTATTCATTTTTGTGCTCCAGTTTGCTTTGTTGCGTACCATGTCAGTGAAGGCTTAGGTAGCAGCACTCAGAAAGGGCTCTTACTGCTTTCATTATAAAATTTCTACGTGCCTTTTCTTGTTAGATGGCCGGCACATAACTAGTTAAGTGCTCCTCTTACGTGAGCACTTGAACGGCTCCACTGCGGATTGGCTGGAGACAAATTCATGCACAGTGGGCTGGGTTATCTATCACGGATTAACATGTCAATGTTTAGTATAGATGGGGTCTTCGTGTTCATCCGTGATAGGTAATCATCCCAGTGTGTATGATTTTGTCTTCAGCTCATACGATGGCCTGTACAACAATGCCTGCACCTTCTCCCCTTCGATCGTCTCCCTCTTCTCTATCTCTTCACCCACAACCAAAATTTTCCCTCCTCCGATCAAACTGACGTGTAGCAGCTGGATCCCGGCGTCATCCTTTGACACCGGCCACGGCCATCTTCGTTGAACTAGTATAGTAAGACGGTATGGCATCATAGACGCTGTAACCAAACGGTAGGAAATGTTTGTAGGGAAAACCGAAAACCTCCATTCTTTCCTAGTCTCATGTCTATTGATTTTGTTAATTTCATTTCCATACATGCTTTTTCTCTTTATTCCCATTATGATTTTTACCTCTAACAACTAAACTTTGTAAAGAATTCGTTTAAACCCTAAGGCTGTGTTTGGTTGCATGTAAATAAATTTGCACTGGTGCAAAAGTATGGCAGTGTAAATGATTTGAGTGTAAAATTTGACCTATTTTTGTTTCAAGTTTTAGGTTATCTTGTTTGATCATAGAATAAAGTAAATTAAGACATGAAGTAGAATAAAGTAAAACCCAAAAATAAAATAAGAATTTGCATTTTTTTCATTTGTACTCCTATGCAGTGCAAAATAAAATTGCACTGCAAGCAAACACAGCCTAAAGAATCAAAAGGGCTAATGATGAAAAGTCGATTTTAAGACAAAAATAGATGACATTAGAAATGGCTCGATAAATATGTTAGAAAATGAATAAAATAATAAAAACATGTTTATTGCTCAAGTTTGAAAAGGTCACTTTAGACCTTAAAGATCGAAAAAGGTCACTAATAAAGTAAATTAAATAAATTACACTAATTAAGATAAGTAAGAAAATTAAGCCAACTATGTAAATTAAATAACTGAATAAATAAATTAAACTAAGTTAATTAAGTAAATTAAATAAAGAAAGCTAATCGGTCTAAATATAATTAAGCCAATTAAGCAAGGTCTTAAAAACCAACTTGAAAATAGAACCATTTTGGCCATCAGTTTCTCAGCCGGTGCTTTGGTTGTCTAGTTCAAACACAAATTAGCCCATAATGTTTTGAAAAATAAAAAAATAATTAAAATAAAAATGATCTAAAAACCATTCATCAGTCAAACAGTTTAGCGGTTCAATTGTTCAAGTAAGTGGATTGTGTACCAAGTCAACGTTTTATAGAAAACTCCTAAAATTGAACCGAACAGTTGACTAGTTCTTGGATCAAATTGTTTGACCCTCAAGATAAATAACAATTTTAAAACCATGCAATTAAGTGAATTAACTAACTAATTAAATAAATTTGTTAAATTAATCTAAGTAAATAGAAAAATTAAAGAAATTAATCTAATTAAAATAAATAAGTAAATTATGTTAACTACGTGAATTAAATATTTGATTAAGTCAATTAAGTAAATTAAGCTAAGTAAACAGAGTAATTAAATTATATAAATTACACTGATTAAGATAATTAAGTAAATTAAATAAACAAAGTTAATCAATCTAAACAAGTAAATTAATCCAATTAAGTGAGTTAACTAATTGATTAAGTAAATTGAGCTAAGTAAATAGAGTAATTAAAGAAATTAAGTAAACTAGTTTAATTAAGCAAATTGGGTAACTAAGTTAACTAAATTAATTGATTGTTAATTTACTAGTAGTTAAGCTAACTAAGTTATTGTTTAAGCAATAATTTACTCTTAATTGTTGTGAATTATTTACTACTAAAATAATTATTGTTAATTTAATGACCTTAATTTGATAAAATCCTTGAGGTAATCTAAAGCGGCCATTTCAAACTTGAATAGTATCACATAAGCATGCTTTTATTACTTTATTCATTGTTTAGTGTTTTAAAAATCATTTGGGAACTGTAAAATTTAGTGTTTGAAAAATCAAAATCCACATCTGATCTAATTATTAATCGAATGCAAGTTTTAACATCCAAATATATCTAAGATAATCAAATTCGAAGTTGAACCAAATATAGACTTTTGGAGTGCATCAACAGCGCCAGTACCCTAACCGATTTCTGGGCTGAACGGTTGTTAAACTCCCAAACCAATGCTCCATGATTTGCACAACTATGAACAAACAAAAAAGAAACAATAAATCTGTATTGTGGGTCTATCAAACCGTGTTTACATTGCATTTGCATACATGGATTCCAAAGAGATCAATTATAATTAATAATTACTCAAACATTGCAGGTGAAAATTAAAATCAAAATAAAATTCCTGTTTTCATGTTGAACTGACTAACAAGAATGTTGGTCAGTCTATTTAGATGTGCATTTTCATATGAAAACATGCAAATGTCATAATAATGTTTAAAAATTTTATTATTGAATTTAGAATTCTCAATGACTAACAATGAATGGTGGTCAGTTTATTTGGTGCGCATGGGGAAAGGGAACTAGGGAAGAAGGAAAGTAAAAAGACAGCGCAGGGATTAAAAACTTCGGAAAAGTATAAACATTTACAATGTCAAAAACCCTCATTTCATACACTAATGCTCACTTGTGAATTGACATCAATTTGGATCTGACACCCACCCCAACTGTATTTTGGGCCTACAAATTCTGACCCTGCGCTGAACCGTCATTCTTGAAAATTTTTCCAATAGTAAGGTTCCATTTGTCACTACTGTATTACACAATGAGCTGGAAGAGTGTTGCAAAATTTGTTGGAAAGCCAGCTGCTGTAGTATTTGGTATGGGCTACGTCACAAACTCCGCCATCGTCCCAGTTCTGATTGGAAAGGTTTGCAGAATTGTTTACTTTAGATAAAGTCATACTTTAGGTTCATTATCCCCTGGGCATTGTGCTCTGGTAGTTAGAAATTATGCCTTTACTCATTGATCATTACAGGGAGGGTTGATAATTAGTGATTCTTTGAATCACAATTCAACTGTCAATGGTTCTCGAGGATCAGGAGCCACAACAAAAAGTCAAGAATTTTCACTTTTTCAGTCAAAACCCTAAACCCATCTCAGATCTCCCCTGGCCCAAAGAAGTTAGAAGTTTGAACTACACTTATTCAGTGATGAAACCAATGATATGCTTAGAGAAAACTTCTAAGATTGAAGGAGTAGTTGTCAAAGTTGTAAGCCTCTTTTCAACAAAAGAAAGTGAATAAAGTCAAGATTAGATGATGCCTAGCCTTATTCAGGCATGTTTTCTTCTCAATTCTCCAGATCTCAACTTAACCAGTAAGCACTAAGCAGTGGTGTCTACCAAACCCTCTTCTCATGAAAGTGAATACTAGAAAGAAATGTGGAGAAGAGGATTTTCCTTGCCTTAGGAGAAGTGTTTTTTAAAAGATGAAAATAGGTTTGACTTTGCACTCTACATATCTATATTTACATTCTTAAACTGAGCCTTGGAAGGAGTACAAATACAAATATGGACAGTGCAAATATTGCATTCTACATATTTGCATTTTACCTAAGTTTTGAAAGAGCCGGTTGGAAGTGTAAGCATCTTTCCTTGGTACCAAAGCTACTGTTATAATGAATGTATTGACAATAATGCCCACCATTACCTATCTCTGCTTAAAGTTCTAGCCTCCATGGATGATACGACTAGAAAAGATTCAATTCTGTAATGTCAAATAAAAGAGAAGGTAAGATTCGATAGTGCTTAGAAGAATTAGGGTTGAGTAAAGCTATTTTGGGAAAGTGGCATTGAAGTTTGGGTCAAAATGGGAAGCTTTATGTATAAAGGTATTGATCTGCAAGTATAGGTTGGCCTGATTTGAATGGGATTCTWGGACTCTTGCATGTAGTTGTGTGTTTCATGTTTTGAAAGTTATAATAAGATTTTATTTTCCATTAGTTGAATGAACTATTTTATATTTGCAGATTTTCTATATTTAGATTTGTTCAAGACTTTATTGTCTTAATTCCAAGGATATTTCTGTTAGCAAACAGTTCCAGATTGGAAATGAGCAGGTATTTTTCTGATGCAATAGGTTTCATATAGTTCCTTTGTTTATTTATTGAAGCTATGTAGATCTGATGCAATCTATTGGACATTTTGGTTCAGATTATAATTTATACATTAATTTTGTTTGAAATTACATCAATCAGGAGAATAAAGCACAAAGTCCTTGTATTTTTTATCTCAATTGGATATTGTATTTGAATAATTCTATTGGAAACAATAATAATTAGTTTTTTAACTTAATACATTAATTTTGTTTGAAATTACATTTTTATTTAAGTTATTTTTAATTATCATGAGATTTTCACTAAGCAGGTATTGAAGTGATGAATTAGAAAAAGTGCTAGTGCAAAAAAAAAAAATTGTCAAAATAAATCTGATATAAAAATATAAAAAAACACCTAAGTCGGCGGTCATCCAACCATCGACTTTTATCTAAGCTGGCGGTCATATAAAATCTAGCCCGACGGCCTGAACCGTCACCTAAAGATGGCGGGGATGTTTGAAAATAGCTAAGGTAGCGGTCTTTTAGGACCTAAGCTAGCGGTCAAAACCACTGCCTTATTAAGGCTAACCCGGCGACTCCAATTGACCGCCGCTTTAGAGAAACTTGAACCGCCTTCACCCAATCATCGAAGGTGGCGGTCATGCTAACCTAAGCCGGCGGTCCTGATCTAAGGCGGTAGGTTTTTAGGGGGCAGACGCATGACCTCCGCCTTAGACCTAAGCCGGCGGTAACCTTTTTTCTTGTAGTGTAGCATGGTTTTGAAACTGGACTGGACCGAACAGTCGGACTAGTTGACCTAGGAACTAGTCAGGCAACTAGTTCCATTTCACCCTAAAATTGCACTTGGACCAAAAACCGTTGATTTAGCCAACAACCTGTTGTCCTAGGCGGTCAAAGACAACAACTTTTGGCCATTTTTTATTTTAATTATTCTTTTTTTTTTATTTTTTAAATCAGAATGTGTCATTCGTTCGAACTAGGTGGTTAAACCGTTCAACTCAAGAACTAGTCCACAAAACATTTTCGTGTTCAGTCTAGTTTTTAAAACCATGCTCCCAAGGCACTAGACAAACATGGGTTTGATTGTGAATCATACCAGAACATAGGGGTGAGCATTGCTCGGTTAAAACTGAAAAACCAAACTGAAATTTTCGGTTTCGGTTTGTTTGGTTCGGTTTTTCTGGTTTTCGATTTTTTCGGTTAAGGTTAATTCAGTTTTAAAAAAAATTGGTTTCGGTTTTCAGGATTGGAAATTCAGTTAACTGAAAAACCGAATTAACCGAAATTTATTATATACATAATATAATATATATATA